GCCATTATCCAGCCATCTTGACCGAATAAGCTTGCTCAATAAAGGATTTATTATATGGCTTTCGGGGAAATTTTTCTTCCGGGACACAGCGAGTGGTCCCGAGCGGGCAAGATAGCTCCATCTTGCCCGCTCGGGTAGCCAATCACAGTGCAGGATTTGAGTCATCTTGCCCGCTCACGGAGCTAGCCATGTAATAAATCAAGATATTTTCGTCATGCCTGCCTGCTCGCCTTCGTGGCCGCTATAATGACAAACGTGCGGCAATATTTGAATTCATGAGAAGTTAAATAAAATGCACCTATTTACTCTAAAGAAATCAAATAATTAGAGTTTAAATTGAGGAGACCGCAGTGTTTACGTCTTTAGGTCCTTTGCATTTAGCAGTTGGGAAAAGGTACACCATGAACGCTTCGGTTCGTAAAAGCTTCGAACTGAGGTAATGTTATAGCGGAGCTCCGGCGGCACGAAGGGTGGCCAAGCAGAGCCCCATATTTATACAGAAAATAAAAGGAAACCCATGAATTGATTTTCTCGTGGTTATCATGGCTAGCGGTATTGCTTGTGGGGGTGCACGCATGACGGCGCCGACGGCGACGGCGGAGTTGGCCGAGATGGCGGTCATACTCCAGCCAATAGGTTGAAAGAGACATGCAGCCTTGGTTTATCACGTCCTTCTTTTATATTGAACATTCATGTTATGGTCAATTGACACCTGTCAAAACAAGGTATCCACTGACCAGTATCACGTGACCATATCGCAGGCTCAGGTTTAGAGCTCAGTTAGGTCACTGTTGTTTTTGAAGTTGACCACTTACCAAGAGCTGATTTTCGATTGGATTCCGGGCTCTTGTCAGATTTACTTGTTGGAAACGGGGCCGGGTTGTTCGGAAGCCGATCAACGCTAGTCCAGGATTAAAAGTTAACCAACGTATATTTATATTTTTTCTTGTTTACAAATGCTTTTCACTGCTTTTGTTGTGTTTAGTCTTAGATTATTCAAACTCAAAACAGAAGGACAAACGATATACAGAAAACCTCACCGCAAAGTTTCAAAACTCAGATCAAAATTCTCGCTTATCCTGGGTTAGCTGAATGTAGCTGGAAATAGCTTTAATTTCTACAAACAAGTTTTACAAATTCTCTTTTAGGTACAGTTTGGTACCAGTATGAAATTTACCACTGAAATGAAAGAAACAGCATAGATTCATTTCATCATATTTTTTCCCCCAAAACCTGTTACCATGACAACCATATGACACATTTAATTGTGCAAAATTGTAATCTATTGTCTTATTTAGAAAACAGGTTGGAGAAATCTTTTCAAACTCCTATAATATATGTTATCAAGATTGATCTTCAAAACATTTAAGTTTAAAAATAATAAAATTCTGAGGAGCAGATGAAAGAAAAAACTACTTTTCAATTGTTGGTTTCTTAATTTTTTCCTTCTCACAGGGAAAAATAAGTATACAAACGCAGTCAATTGCTCTTACACGTCACCGAAAATTTCGAAAAATTTATCCGACCAGAAGCGGAAATATAGACGCGCGAATTTGGAAAATGAAGGAAAATTGCGAGTCGACTACATCCGCGTCTACTCATGCGCGAAGTTTTTCACTCGCTCAATCGAGTCCACGTGCGCGGAACAATCAGCAAAGTAAAGGAATAACGCAATGTCAGCTTCCAGCTGTTAGTGTGGAATATTTGTATTTTTTGATAATAGGAGATATTTTTCATTTCTATCTTTTTATGGATTAGAAGAAAAGTGACAAAATCAGGAGGGTAAAGTTTACATAAACGTGCTTCAATATCTACCGAATGCAAGAAATGTTCTCTTGACTATTTCTGTGTCATTATTTTCAGGTGAGTATGGTGTATAATTTTCCACGATCAGCGTCTGTTCGTGCTGCCGCTCCGTGTGTCATCTTTGTTCTTGACAGGGCAGATCTCAACAGAGTTCTTAAACATTACCCTGGAGGTGGGTTTTAGTGCCCGTTTATTCCATTGCCGTCATCTAGTAGTTTGGATAACCCCCGACGGGGATACTCTCAGAAATGTTTGGTGGGGGTGTGTGCGGCCCCCTCCCCAAAACCCTTACCACTATTTAAGACCAAAATCTGCGATTTTAAATTCTCCTACCTTAGCTATTTATGTCCTGACTGTAAATTCGATACCTTATTTAAGACCCGACCCTTAAATCAATACCCTGTTTTAGACCTGCCTTATGATGATGATGATTTTTTTAAAATAAATTTTTATTTGCATACAATAGAGTCAGTTACCTAACTTGCATTACTAATACTTATACAACTAACATTACAATACATTTACGTGTACAGCATAAAATACAACACAGCTACTTTACATTACTTGCAATACGTATAAGATATTTTACAATGCTCATACAGCTACTTTATACTATTTGCGATACTGAATAACTAGGATTTTTTTAAACTTTCGATACATTGGATGTTATTATTAACGGATCAATTATATACAGAAGAGAAATAAAAATAAAAATGAAAGACGAAGTAGAAAAATAGAAGTTGCATAGTCCGCGACAAAGATATTTGGGGCAGCTCACACACATAGTGTTGTCCATTTTGCTCTGAATTTCGTCAGTGCATTATTTTTTGAAAGCAATTGTACGTTCACAAAGGATCTTTTCATCGAATAATAGGCCTAGTTCAGAGCGATGTTGAGGTATTGTGAAGTGCTTTCATTGATGGTCTCATCGATAACAAAAAGGCCGCCTCTTCTAAAACAAAATTATCAAAATCGATACCCGATTTTTGACCAAAACAGGTAAAAAACCCTACCCATTGGGGCCGCACATACTTGTATACCCCATATAAAGGAGTACCCCCCTCCTCGGGCGGAATAACCAGGGCCGGGTTGTTCGAAAGCCGGTTAACGCTAACCCAGGATTAAAAGTTAACCGAAGTATAAATTTTTCTTGGATATAATATATTGGATATATATTCAAATTCAACACTAAAGGACAAACAATATAGACAGAAAACCTCTCCGCAAAGTTACAAAACTAAAATCAAAATTCTCGCTAATCCTGGGTTAGTTTAATCGGGCTTTGAACAATCCGGCCCAGGCCTCTTTCTTCGCGCGCGCACTACATCTTCACGTGGAAGAAGTCGGTGATTTTAGAAAATAAATTCCATATAGAGTGTCTTCACATGATGTCACGTCAGCCATAGTGATGTCCCAAAACAGTGAAACGATCGAAGACCTTGTTGTCTTCCTAAATCAACCATGCTGGAGTCGAACTCTTCTCTTATGTAAAAAATTTATCAGTTTTATTTTGTTCCAAGTATTTTACATGGCTGCTAGTCTCTGTTGATTACGTTGCTTTACAAAATCTGTTTAGTGTCTCTGATACTTTAGACAGGTAACCTTCGCTCAAATATCAATTCCTGTAAGACGAATATTGATAGCATGGAATATTTTCCCCTTACATCTTCTTCGTAGACGTTCGTATAGCTTGTCACGCTTTACTCACTAACGAACGTCTTCGTGGAGAAGGAAGATTGCGAGACGAGGCCAAAGAGCATCTGCGCAGGTTACTCATCTGCTTACAGTTGCCTTAGCCGCTTTCCTTTCCTAAAAGCTCATAATAAGAAAACGTTCTGTATTACTTCTTTTCTTCAGTGGCAGAGCAGTTGTATTTGGCCGTTGAAAATCGATGCGATCTCAACGACGTGAAATTAGACACCCCTGGAGGGGGCGACAAAGAAACGTTCTTGGAAATGGAAAACGAAGAAGCAGAACAGTGCCTAAGGGAAAGTGCGGTAAGGAACAACTGCGAAAAGGGAGTTGTTTAATGATAATTTCGAAATGTGGGTTATCGGTAAAGATAAGCATATGCTTAAACTTAAGTTTCGGCAAAGAACTTGTTTAAGTGTCTTTGCTTTTTTTTTAACTTTCCACTGAAAAACATTTCTAAGAGTATGGCGCAATGAAGGTAGATTTTTTTAACGGAAATTAAACAAGGTGCTGCACTTACTTTTAGACAGCTGGATTTTGCACAAAAAAATGATAAAAATGATACCTATGATTCTTTTCGGAAGTTGTTTGGAAAGTTGTTGTTTTTCATGCGTCTGTTCTGTTTTTGATCATGAATTTCGTCATAATATTGTCAAAGTAGCTGTGGATCCACGAAGCGATAGCCGAATGGATCCGCAGACTACTTTGACAATTTATATGACGAAATTCATGATCAATAACAGGACAGACGCACGAAAAACTGACGTCAATTTCTTTTTACGATAACAATTTGTCAAATTGTCCACTCTCGCTCGTTGAAGCATCGCATAAATTATAAATTCATGCGTCTGTCCGCTTTTTGACAATGAAAATTAGCCATTGAGCTCGCGAGAATTTTTGCAGTTATCGTAAAAAGCTTGATTTCATGGCTTTTTGAAATGTTCATCCATTCATACTTATCTAGGCATGCTTTGTTTGACTTTTTTTTTTCGCTTTTTCCAACTTTCCCCCCCTCTTTTGTTAAAATGATTACGCCTCAAATTAATTAAGCAAGATCAGAGTTCCTCAGAACGTTTTTTTGTCGGAATAAACACTCAAAGGATTATTTATATAAATGGCATAATTTAGAAATCTGTTCGTGTTTCGAGTTTGCTATTTATTTGCCCTGATCTGTTTTCTGACTTACTGGTGTCTTGTCTGTCAACAGGGATTCAACGAACAGGCATCTGCAAAGAAGAAAAGGTACATAGCTTCATTATCAGAAAGCGGTATCAGATAAGCCGTGCGTTTCTCGGCTCGACTATTTATTGCTCTTTCCTCTCCTTACATTTAACTACTGTACGTAACTAATACTAGTCAACTCTGTAAAAAATCTTTTCCTTTATACACATGAAGCTATTTTACCCTTCCCTGTGATTTAGAGAGCAATATATTGTGCCGAACATGTCTTGAAAAAACTGATGCACGAGTGAGCATAAAACGGTTGTAAGTCCTCAAGTTGTAAAGTGCGGACTGCAGTCAATTTAACAGATAAGCTACATGTTGCCATGCCTCTGTCCGGTTATTGATCACATTAGACGTAAAAAGGTACGAGGTGATAGCTGAGTGTGTCACTGCATGTTCTTATCACATTTTAACGTCTTCCGTGTTCTATTACTGAACAACTAGGAAATGTTTTATAGAATAAAGAAAAAATGTCAATGACGTCATCTATGCGTCTGTCTTTCAATTATAATGCGAGAATAATTCGACATATTACATAAATAGGAATTCTCTCTGCTGGCTTTTGTGAACATACATTAAACGGGAGCACAATATTGCACTACTAAACAGTTTCACTAATTATCATTATTACTCGTTCTGTTTCATATTTCAGTAATATTCTAGGGGAATTAGCTGAACACGTCATCATGCCCAATTCCTGGTTCGGAGTGATCTGGGAGCGACTAGTTCTTTCTGTTCTCCTCGTCATTTGTTTCCTGTACACGTTTGTTGCCTCGTTCTCAATTAGCTTACATGCTCTCGGGTACGGAAAGAACACTGGTACCCAGGTTCTTCTGGCTTTTACGTACTTATTGGATTTAGTACTGGTCGGAGACTTCATTTTGAGATTTAACATGGCATCTGAGACTATCACAGGTAGTATTACATTGCGACTCCCCAGCAGCGCGCGTTCTCATTTAAAAGATGAGAAAAAAAGTTTGATTGAATGTTGACTATATGCACAACCTTTCTCCTCTTCGATAAGAATACAGGCTTTAACCGAGTGGTATTTGAAAGAATTTTTATATATTACCAGTAGTGTCAATCCTTAATTGCTTGAGCTTTCCTACGATTTTTCATTCATTATATGACTGAGAAAATTACGAAAGCGCGCAGGTTGATTGTGCAAATTAAAAATCAACGAGAAATTGGCCTTCGCTCAGCTAAAACAAATACTTTATTTATGCTCGGCAGTGTTTACAGCGCAAAGTCTAGTGTGGCCGAGAAAACAACTGAAATAAGGGACCGTTCATTTTTTATCAGGTAGGGGGGCTGGTGGGATTTGGGGGGGGGGGG